TTGTCAACAAGCATAAAATTATTGGACATTTAAAAAATTATACTTACTAAAATAAGCAAGGTACAATATTTAAAAATATTTCCCTATTTTTATAAGCTTGCTAAAAAGTTTATCTTTTAAATGTCTTCTTTCCTATTCCTAAGCTGTGCTGTTTTTTTCTGATTCTGTCCTTGAAGTGCAATTTTAAACACAGCAGGAAAACAGAGCATGTATTGAGGGAGTTTAAAGTAATTAATTTTCCAACTATAGCACACAACCTATCATATGACAGTCACTAAAGTACAAATTTGGCCTTATAAATTTATCTGTATGTTCAGAGGAAACTGAACCAACTTTAAATGAGCAATTAAACTCATAAATCATGAATTTCCCTTTACTTACAGGAAAACATCTTGTTAACAAAGAACACTATTTATGTCTAAGGATGTCGGTAGATTTAGTTATAAGATTCTATCAGTTAATTTGTGTTGTACAAAATATTTACTTTGTTATACATCAATATATTTTTCTGTCTAAAATAAAATATATTTATTTTATAATAATCCAGAAATAATTAGAAATTACCAACCTCCTAATATTGACCTGGAACAACCTTAATTCTTCTTTCCAGGCTAGATGGTTTATATTAGCATCTAATTAGAAGACTAATATAGAATACTGATTTAGACTGACATAAATTATTTTTACTTTTAAAATATATCAAACTATTCAAGAATAAATTTTAAAAAGTCCGTTACATCAAAATACTAAAAAAAAATTTAAAGCATAAAATTCACGAATAGAATGCATCTTTGAATATTTACTTTTCCTTAAGATAAATTTTAAAAGTATCATTTTAAAGGTAAAACTAAGAAAAAAAAAGCCCCTACCTTCTCTACAGTTATAGATCTATAAGAAATACAACATGGAAAAGTCAATTTTGAAAAAGTAATGGCTAATTTTTGGTGTCCCCAAAAATGTATACACACTTGGAATAATTGTAAAGGCAATGTTTATAAAATACATTTAATTTTCAAAATTGAGCTATAAGCTGTTAAACTATATATACAGTTTTTGGACCACCCTGTATATTAAGCAAATCATATAACGCTAAACCTAGTGACTTAAGCACACAAGATGTTATAGTAAGTAGAACATAACTCATGGCTTTGAATATTTTCAATTTCCAAAATACTATACAATCAACACAGCAACTCGGCAAAGTGTTTCACTGCCCTCAGTCTTCCAGATAAACATATTTTCCAGATGAGATAAAGCAAGGTAAATTGCACTGTCATGGCTCAGGGTAACTACAGTAAGGGTAGCAAATTAATTCAAGATTTTCCTAAATGTAGCATATCGTACACTTAGAAAATAACAATTCAAGGTGGATTATTCTTTCAATAAATAGGAGCAGTTAATCTTCAAACAAATTAGAAATCATTTAAATTTATCTCAAAGTAGATTCTGAACTATTTAGTTCCTCTCACTTAGAGGAACTGAGAAACTGTATGTTCTAAAACATTCCTTCAGTCTAACTAGAGTTAGTTTTCTTACCAGACGTTTTTGTAGGATGAGTTCAGAAAAACATGAGATAAAATATTTTATGTACAAATGTGCTCTTTTCTCAGATACATTTCTAATTATTATAAGAACAGCTAAACTCAAAGTAAATATTATAATAAAGTTCAATAAGATTACAGTTTCCTTTCAATGTTTTATAACATTGCATTATTATAGACCATAGGATTCTACTTTAGAATCAGATTGCTCATTGAAAAAAAATAAACAACAGATCTGCTATCCTCATGCATCCTTGATTTGCATGAAGAATGTTTTGTTAACTTTACGGCCTAAAACAATATCTAATCCTCATTCCACAGGAGGAAGACATTAAGTGATTTACTCTAAGCATTATACATAACACCTGGGGTTTAAAATCACTCGATTTTAAATAAGCCTGTATTTTATGCTTGCACCAAACATATTAATTATTTTCCCCGGGGATCCTCATCAATCCTGCTTCAGTTAGAGGCACTGAAAACAAATCACCTCTTTCCCTGGTTATCCTCTTAGGACAGCGTAGTTCAGGGATGTCAAGAATTTTCTTGAAAATAAGTCCATAATACTTAAAGTCCATGCAAATATTGGTTAACTCATATTTTCTAGCCAACACAATGCCCCTTAGCCCTTCAGTTCTATAGTGTTATATTTAAAATAAAAATTACAAGTGATCTTTATACTCTTAGTATACATCATAAAAATGGTCAGATTACCAGGTATTCTTATTGCACAGACTTTCATAACACAGCAATAAAAAAATACAGCAATATATGATATTGATACAGAGCCAACCTTGCTCTCAGGTTTGGGTTGAAGTCCTCCGAACTTTTTCTAATACCACACGTTCCCTACAATAATCCTCTGATGACAACCCTTTGACAATTAACGGATTCAGTGAATAAAAATTACATTTTAAACAAAGGCTACAATGAATAGATTTTTAATATCATCAATGGACTTAAATATAAATTAAAGAATGCCCCCCAAACACACCTCTGCAAAGCCCAAGCTCATAAACCTTATTGAAATGTAATTCGCCCACCTGACGTCCCACTATCTTCCTCCTCTTCTATCACTCCAAAGTTCCAATGATTAAGCATATTCTATACACAGCCTACCTTTATTTTAGAAATAAATACAAATATTTATGGAAAACTACAATTTAACATGGCATTTATGGCTTTAGCATATTGCATACTTACTCATGACATTAAGAGTTTGAATATCCAGGAATTTCCTAACATATAGGAAAATGCACAGTTGCCAAAATAGAAAAATTTATAAACATTTTAAACCATAACATTAAGGCATTCTAATTATATTAATTTTCCTCTATTATACACATAGTTTATATTTAATTAGAGGGCTTAAGTGGTAAGAAAAATATATGCTATATACAAAGAATACACAAAAAATTAACATTATATAAAGGTGATATTTAAAAAAAATTGGTGACATTTTTTAGCCAAACATTGCATTGTTTCATGAGTTCAATGTACAATATAATTTATTTACATAAATATATATGGCCACAAACATATCCATGAACTCAGACATGAGAGCAAACAGGACAAGCAAATAAATAGTTCATGACCAGGAAAACCCACATCACACAATATAGCAAGGAGAGATTTTCAAAGAAATGATATTTGTTATATAAATCACAACATATAACTAATTTTATACATACTTTGTTTACTTCTTAAATCACCTTAAATATACTAATATATAATAATATGCTACTTTTTTTCCAAAAAAAGGAGTGATTTTATTTAAAAATTTGAAAAAAAACATGTAAGATATTTTCTTACAAGTTTATGAATATGTTAAAATTCCCAATACAAAATCCAATTCATTTTAATAAATTTTCAGTATGTAACTGTTTTACTATAAGAGAATTTACAGATTAAGTCATTTGAACTATGGCATTTTTCCTTGCTTTCTAAACTTATGTCGTGTAATACTTTTTTCTCAAAGCACCCTATTCTCCTTTATAGCTGTATCACAATTGTGGTAACTTAATCATTAGTATAATTATTTTTAACTTGTGTATTTTTGCAGAATGTAAACTGTATGAGGGCAATTACTGCATCTATCTTATCTACCCCAATAACTCAGGGCCAAACACGATGCCTGGCATACAACAGGATAGCAACTGATATTCGTTAGTAAGTTAGTTTAACTTATACATTGACAGATTTTAAAATATAGGTTTTTAGAGACATAACAGGAAATGAGTCACATTAACACTGTTACTATAGGCACACTTTAATGCCACTTAGCCCTTCGGTTCAATAGTGTCATATTTAAAATAAAAATTGCAAGTGTCCATTTTTATAATATTATCAAAAACTCCATTTGTTTCCTAAAATTTTGAATGAAATTTTTGATGTACTCTCACTCTCACTCAATTATTAATTAAAAGAAATACTGCCCTAACCGGTTTGGCTCAGTGGATAGATCGTCAGCCTTCGGACTGAAAGGTCCCAGGTTGGATTCTGGCAAGGGCATGTGAATGAAATTTTTGATGTACTCTCACTCTCACTCAATTATTAATTAAAAGAAATACTGCCCTAACCGGTTTGGCTCAGTGGATAGATCGTCAGCCTTCGGACTGAAAGGTCCCAGGTTGGATTCTGGTCAAGGGCATGTACCTTGGTTGCCGGCACATCCCCTGCAGGGATTGGGCAGGAGGCAGCTGATCAATGTTTCTCTCTCATCAATGTTTCTAACGCTCTATACCTTCTCCCTTCCTTTCTGTAAAAAGTCAATAAAATATATTTAAAAAAAATAAAAGTAATACTGATGATTATTCAGTTGATTGTGTTTGCACTCTGCTTCTCTTCCTTTTAATCCTGGTTCAATTTTGTGTCTTCTAGTAATCATATCTCTCCAGAGAGAGGAGAGGAAAATAAAGTCACTTTATTTCAACTCATTGGTAGAATTAATGATTTGAAAAGAATCTTTATCAAATTAATATATTATGCTATTATTCCTTGTTGTTGGCAATATTTTTAGCGTCAGAAGTTGTAAACAAATCATTACCAATATGTAGCTTAATACCTCAGCATTTGCAATGAAAAAGAAAGAATGGCCTATAGACACAATTTAAAGAATATATTGAGCTTACTATAGTACTTTTTAGGAAAGCAAATGTCTCTTCATGAAGATACTTTAATTTGAGTTAAATGGACCAAATATATATAAATGATCATTAGTGCTTACATTTGTCACTTTTTTCCTAAGGAAGTAATCTTAATAATAAAATAGTCGTTCTTTTTAACTTTCTAAATAAATCTTAAATAGAGTGTCCACCACTCTAATATAAATAGGCTCTACAAACTATCAAGTTCACACCAAAATGACAGAAATGAGGAACAAGCACACACATATTACAAAGCATGAAATGCAATGCTTATCCTCTCATGCTTTCAGCAGTTTTCCACATCCTGACAAACCTGGCTCTGTTTGCTGTTTCTTTTGCGGCAATGGTATGTCATCATTTACTGTACCATTCACCTTTTCCTGTTGGTCTTCCCATGTAACTTCTACTATGAATAAAAAAGAATCATCAGAGCTTGTCAGAAACATTAGGTAATGTTCATAGCGAGAACCTAAAAAATACTTCAGGGATTTAAAAAAATGATTTACCCCCTATATTCTCCCGTAAATTTTCAGTAATGTGTAGTTAATGTCTTATATATACAAATGTGACATTTGAATTTTTTGTAATAGATTTAAAAAAATCCAAAGCACTAAAACTCACTTCCAATAAAATGAATGGGCTGAAGGTATGAAGAAAATGATGATTAAACTGATTTGACAAATACGTTTTTCTTAGTTGATATTAATAATATTAATTTTAGAAATGAATATTTTGCTAAACACTGTTTTCTGTGATGAAATGAAATGTGTATATGAAATTAAAATGCACAAATTTTGTACATATCAAGAGAAATTAGATTTTAATATAGGATAAGATAAAATGGCTATTTTACTACCATATTTAGTACTTTCATTAAATGATAGAAAAATGTGCTATGGGATATGGTTTCAAACAAATTGGTAATAGTTTAGTATTATCGAATATGAGCTCCCTGGCATATTTAAGATTATTTAGAATTATTTGTAGTGTGGCCTACTATTCATTCATTCAACAATATATACTCAGCACCTATAACAATCCAGGCATATCTAAGGCACTGGGGATACAAGAACAAACAAAAGAGACCAAAATCCATGCTCTCATAAAGTCTATATTCTAATGGAGAAACAGATTATAAACAAGAAAAACAAGTATGATACTTTATGGCTTAGATATTGATAAGTACTAAGAAGACAAATGTGAAGTAGGTAAGAAGTAACAAAATGCTTAGGGTCTGATGAAAGTTTGAAGAGGGTAGTCATGGAAACCCTCACTAAGAAGGCACATTTTGATAAAGAACTTAAAGGAAGTAAGGGAGTTGTATGTTGACATGGGGAGAGGGCAGTACAGGCAGAAGAACAGCGCTTGCAAATATCCTCAGGTGGGAGCATGTCGGAAATGTTCTAGAAAAGCATCCTGGACTTGAACGGGAGGCCTCCAGGGCTAACGCAGGGTGGAAAAGTGGGAAGTGGTAGAAGGTGAGATTAATCAAATGGCAGTGTGGGGAGTACAGATCATTGCAGGTCACGTATCAAAAGGGTCACTGGTCGCCCTTAACTTTCCTCTCGTAGCAGCATTCGGGAACACTTAAGTATATACTGGCCTGTACTTTTGTTCGCGTTTCTAAATCTACACTGTAAGTCATGTAGACAGTTACTATCTACATACATTTTAATCTCTGTCCATAAATAGTGGAATCCTAACATTTTATAATATTAAGCTAAAAAATATAACTAGGAAGATGAAATCACTGTCAAAAAATGGAAAAACATGCTATCTTGCAACAGCAAATATAAGTTACTGTAGACACAATGCTGTTTTTGATTACTTATACTGCTAGAATTGACTGCAGTTAAGTACTGTATAAGAATTACCCACTCCTAGATTTTATTAACAGACATTTTATTAAATGCTATTAATAATTAGATACTTTATACAGGTCCAACATCAATCAGCTACCAAAAGAAAACAAACCTCTTGCTTTGGGAGAATTTTATAAAGTTATACCTGGATATATAGCTGACAGCCTAATTTTCTAATTAGTAAATAACTGATAAAGATGCAATATAGGGTTATCAAATAGTAACCAATCTGGATAAAGATGCTATATATCAATCAATGGCTAATGGAAGAGAAATCTTAAAACCTTTAAAGAATATACAAATTTTCTGATGAATTCCATGACTTTAGTACAGTCTTCTTTAGTTATAAGAACAAAGGACTCATATATTCCTTAATCAAAGTTAATCTGTAGTAACACAAAAATAACAACAGACTAATTTTACCATATTAGGGAAAATAATAAGCTCATCAACAATGAAGTATTGTAAAATCTGAATGATCTGCACTTTTAGTTTCCTACCAAAAAACAATATGAAAGATTTTACAAGCACTACAGAGTTGTTCAAAGTGAAATTTTCTAAAATCCTACATATTTGCTATTTTGAACAGTTGTTTCTCTTTTCATCATTTGATAGGTTGTGATGTTCCAGAAATAGAAGGCATGCTACCTGTTGAAATAAGATTGAGTATGTAGAAGCAGAAATGGCTTGTTTTGAAATGGGTCAGCCGATCTGTAAATTGGCAGAAAGCATCCTCTGAAGTGTAAGGAAACATTTCTTAAGACATAACATTTTTAATTTTCAAAGAATTTCTTTGAGTCATTTGTCTTATGTTGACAGAGTGAAATTAATAAGTATTTGTTGAAAGTATATGCGAGTGGAAAAAAAAGTCCCATAACCATAAATTTATAGATACTAGCCATTACAACAAAGAAAGAGGACCAAGATCAAGGCTATCAATGATTGATAGGAGAGGTAATATATGTTACTAGCCTGAGCCAGAAATGGTGAATTTTAGGAACATTTCTGCCTTTAATGAGGTTTATAATCTTAAGCAAGTTTCATAAACTCTCTGGCCACTAATCTGGTATATTTGAAGTGAGAAACTTGGTCTTAAAAATTTCTAAGGTTATTTCTGTGCTGAAATACAGTTGCTCTTGCTTCTTATGATTCTAGACTGATTAGTCAGATTTTGTGGAAAAGGAACTCTACCAGAGATGATGAAATTAAGACACCTAGAATTTAGAAGATTTTCCACAAGTCCCAAATATGGCTATTATTAAACCCTATATCAGAACCCAAGTGTTTATTTTAAAACAGATTTAAAGTCATAAAAAGAACAGAATTTACTAGTGAATCATTAATTCACTTATCACCCCAAAAAACAATGTCAAGAGCTACCCATATGTAGCCCTCTTTGAATTTATGGGTCAGAGAATTAAAATAAAACATTTAAAGTAATTAAAAGATGCCTAGTTTTACATTTAAAAAAATGTTCAAATTGTTTGAAAGTTGCTTTAGTTACATTAAACAAAATAGCAAAAATATCACTAATCATGTGTTTTTTTATGAAAAGACTATTGTGGTAATTTTAAAACTAAAATTCTTCTTAATGTTAGATAATAAAGATCTAATAATTAAAACTTAAGTACAAAGCACTAGCTCATGACAGTGTATATTTACTACCTGAGGATAAAAAGTAAAAATCAGAGATATATAATGCAATTTAATTGGCATGATTACCTTGAATAAATATATATCAAATGCCTCAGATGCAAACGGTGAATCCATTCAAGTACAGAAAGAAATTTATTCTAAAGGATACATTCTTTTACTAATACTTTTATTACTTTACAAATGCAGTAGTAAATATTCAGTTGTGAATTTAATTTGTAGATGGAAAGCTTGAAGATTGATTTAATAAATATTAGATAATTTGAAGAACAATTTTACTCATTATGACTTAACTTTGACGTGAGCTTTTTAAGTGATATTTTAAAAGCCCACATTTCTACAAAATAACTATATACCTGGCTAGTCTTCATTACACCATGTAGCCAACACTATGATTTAAATAGTACAAATTCCTATATTAGCAAGATTATATTTATATAACACTATATGTTTCAATGTGTTTTCACATATAACCTCATATTTGATCCCATAAAACAGAAAGGACCTTCTATCAGGTGATATGTACAGGTAAGAAGACAGAGCTGATTAATAAGGATTAGAGCTGAATAGCCATCCTAGTTTATAAACAATTTCACAGGCATTACCTCATTTGATTCTCAAAGTAGCATATGAAAATGAAAGAAATATGCTAAGATTGCCTCTTCTCAGATTAACTAACTTGGAATAAGGGCCTAGAGTCAGGCAGTTGGTATATTGTAAAGGCAGACCTTGTGTCAAGGTTTTAAACCTGTGATTTCTCTAGTACCATCTCACTTTTCTGTTGTTATTTTCAACAACAAACAGAAGATGGCTTTAGAATTGTATTTGGGAAGTCGACAATAAAATAGCTTGAATAATGGCTAACCTTTGCAGGAAGAAATGAGGAAGGGGGTTCTTTCCCAAGTCAATTGGTCTATTTAGATTTCAGTAGTAGAGAAGAAATAAAATGAGCAGGAGAAGAAAAGTAAAATGAGGATCTGCAAATCCTACCACCCTAAATGGTATCCAACTCCCAGAATGCCTACAGAAGCAAGCATCACTACTAAGACCGTCAAAATTATTACTTTTGGTTCCTTTATAAACCAGTCCCCCCCCCCTTTTTCACCCTTCCTTCCTCTCTTCCTTTCTTTCTTATTTACAAGGTTATCTATTTTTGAAATAATGTTGGCAACAGTACATTAAGGCTGAAAGGGACAAAATATTTCCCTTTAGTCTCATTATGCATCTTTAGGCACATGACTTTTTAATAGGCAACTTGGTAGGGTTTAGTCTATAATCCCAACAGTGTTCACCCACTAACAGCAAATGAGGAGGTTGTATCTGTTAAGTTTCTAAAACCAACCAACCAAACAACAACAACATAAACCATAGGTTGAAAACAAAACTATTGGAGACTTTTGACATTCTTAGCCACATATCCAAAAACACTTAGTTGTGTTAAAGTCTTTAGGGGATATTTTACTTACAGAAGAAGGAACTGAGGTCCACAGAATGAAAGCCTTGCCAGAGGCCATAAACTTCGCAGTAGAATTGAGCTCATGACCCAGGTATTGATTTCAATGTCATTCTCTAGATACTATGAAACTGGAAAAGTCCTACTGATGTAAACAGTTCTCTGACCGAGAGAAAATTATTCTAAATAGTTTCATACTGATTTTCATACACATATTGAAACATGTACAATTAACTGTATTAGAACATTATGCAGTATCTTATATTGCCATTCAATTCAATTCAATTCAATTCCCCCTTGGAATTGTTTCTTATGCAAGTTACTTGATCCAGAGTACTAATTTCCTAGACACTACTAAACAACATGTATTGAATAAGTGGTTCAGAGTGATGATCACAATCAGGCTTAATCTGACTGTAAATCTAAAGTTTTCAA